AATCCAAATTGCAAAAGCAAAAGATAACCCAAGGCCTTTAAGGATATAAATCATTCCTAAGACACCAATGTGACCCTCCTTGAAGTCACGAAACTTAAGGAAAGCGAAAGAACAAACGAGAGTCCATAACGAGCGAATTTCATTGATTAAGGGTAAAACGGTCAATTTACAACTAAGAAGGTAAACTTGACTCAAAACAAGTCAAATAAGGTCCACACAACCTAAACAAATCATTACATAACATTCCAAGAGGTTCTAAGAACTTTGGACAAAAATCCCACAAAACGCCCTTTCCTGGTTTAAGCGAAAACTGATACCCTCTCACTAAAACCTGAACAACTCCCACTGTGATTTGAATCTGAGAATAGGATTGGTATCATTGGAAATATGACTCAAAATCCTTGGGTTTAGGCTCAAGAATCACCCCATTTAGGTTAGAAACAAAGAAGTTATGGCCATTTGAAGTCGAAACTACAGTATTTGATACAAAACTGAAGGCAGCTGTGTATAGGGGCTATTTTGGTCCACCGAAATAAAGTTTCGGATGACCGAAACTGGCAGAAATGTTTCAAAAACCTGATTTTTAAGAGTGGGACACTTCGGTAGACCGACATAAGCCATCGGTCTACCGAAATAGGCCATCGGTCGACCGAAATAGCCCTAAACAGTGAAAAAGACAACTGGAAATAATGATTTACTGTGCAATGAAGTTCCCAAAAGCCATCGGTTGACCGAAACTCCTCGAAAAGCTACTGCAATGCTAGGAAAAAGGTCCTCGGTCCAATCCTAAGGTTGTGCATCCATCCTATATGATCCATACATGCTCAAAAACATTCCTTAGCCTCAAAAGAGCATCCCTAACATGCTAAAACAAAAGGGAACTTAAAACCTACTCCAGTGCATGAACTTTTTTTATAAAAATCCATAATTTATCCATAATAAGTTCAAAAGTCAAAACTTAAGAGTTTTGTGAGATGTGAATATGCACGCAAACGTAAAATGATGTAGTAAATGCGCTACAATGGCCTACGGCCTCATTGCAACCTAATTATAATTTTTAACATGTCAAACCTCTAATTTTCACAATAGGCTATATTTGCAATACTTGAAATTTTAGTGCATGCTTGCGAACATCAAGTTAATGGCCTTTGGCCTCATGTTATACATATAAAACAAGTATAAAAAAGTGTACTTAAGTACACATTACATATTTCAAGGCAAAAATAACATTTTATACCAAAATTATACTACATGCTAAGACTTGCTTGTTTTAAAAAATATAACAAAATACTTCAAGGTATCAAGGCAACTTAGGGATGTGATGCATCCCAAATCAAAGTTTCTTTACCTGCAAAATAACCCAAACAATTAGGGTGAGTAATCAAGTTACTCGTAGGATGTGGTGCATGCGCATACCCTATAGTTCATGTATAATGTGAACCAAATATAGAGTATCACAAAGGTGCATTCCACCTAATGTCTATGTTCCCATAGTACTCGAAGGGATTATCTCAAGCTATACAAACGTTTGAAACGATAAACACGTAGCATCCAAGTATACATAAACAAGTACACTAACCATATTAAAACTAAGATTATCAAATCACAAGCTATAAGAAATCCATGATTTAAAACTTGGAAAGTAATGCGAAATCAAATAATGGAAAGACTAGGATATGTGGTCATGCGACTGTACAAGTTATTTCGGGTAATTACGACCCACAAGGTACAACCTAGTGCGCACTATGACTACGGAGAATTCTTACCCTCCGTACTAAAGCCAAACCCTAGTCATCAACATTTCATATCCTTACAAGCTTCCAAAAATCAACAAGTCCATGACATTTATATAATCTCAATGTATGAAACTACCTACCAAGCACAAGTAAGGTGAAACCACATAGACCACACAAACCATGCCCTAAGGTTTCATGTCTAAAGTGACAAGCTAATGATACTACACATTATGCCATATGAATTTAATATTAATGTAGGTCATAATTACTAATCATTCAATATAGTAATTTACGTACAAGTAATTTCAAGTGCTACATGCAAGATCTTCATACTAGACTTTCAATGAAATCTCAATTTCTTAACAACATAAGTGCAATTTCAAGATATTCATAATAAACCCTCAATGAAATCACAAGTATTAGGCAAATCATTAAATAATGACCTACCTATACAATTTAATAGTCATATACATGCGTTAATCCACAAATCCTAAGTCAAACATATAAAATCTCTATTTACATGCAAATACAAGAATTTTAAAGGCATGTAATCAATATATATTAAGCTCCAATATATATAAAATCTAAAGAGGATAAACATAAAACCACCCCTACCTCAATAGAGAATTGTATCTCTATAATCCAAAGCAACCAAGCTTAAAATGAAAAACCAAACTAGGGTTTTATAGAGGAGAGTGAGAGAAAGATAAAGTATTCCAAGCTTATAAGTCTAAGGTGAGTGGAAGGAAGTCAAAAATGAAGTCAAAGCCTTGAGTCAAGCTTTTCCTTCCATGGTGGCTAAGTTAAGGTTCTTGAGAGGAAAGTGGTGAAATGAAATAAAGGCATAAACCCTAACTAAATGTGGTGGGATTCTCCACTCACTAGGTGCTCTTGCATTACCTCACACACACACACAATGCAAGACCAATTGTGGACCTACACTTGTCATCATCTTAAGTAAACTTCCAAGACTTAACATTGAGCCTACACTTGTCAACCATCCATGCCAACAAGTGCTCCTATCCTGGGCCAACAAATGGGTGAATCTCCACCCTCCATGTGTCATAAGATCATGCTCCGAAATCTCCCCACCTAATTCCAACAAGTGGCACCATGAGAATGTGGCACTTGTCACATTTTTCGAAAATTGTAAAAAGGTCTTTTTTGAAAATATCTTCCAAATTAAATTGCAAAATAGTCCTTAAGACGAAAAATAATTATTTTATTTAATTACACTAAAACCTCAAAAGTTACGAATAATTACAAGAAGTTATGCATCCATGCCCTTTACAAGAAAAGTAAGCATCTAGTATGCTTTTCTACAAAAATAAAAATGTAAATATCGTGAAAATTAAATATCATGGATGTACACAAAGCTGGAATCAAATCCGAGCACAAAAAGTGAAGTTATGCTAGGAAAAATGATAAAAGAGAAAAAGACGACATAGGAAAAAAGACGAAAAAAAAAATTACCGAAAAAAGAAAAGAAAGAAAATGACCGGGCCATTACATCTTTTACTTCATAAAACACTTGAATACCACCATGATAAAACAACAAACAAATTTGAAACTCGATCGGTGTTGTCTAGAAGGAGGATTTAAATTTCTACTATGGCTGGCAAAATCAAGTTGCTACCCAATCAAGGCCTTAAAAAAAAAAAAAAAAAAAAAAAAAAAAAAAAAAAAAAAAAAGAGGTGAAAAAAAAGGATCAATGAAAAAAAAAAACGGTGAAAAAAAAAAAGGAGCGATGAAAAAAAAAAAAAAAAAAAAGTGCGTTGGGAAAAAAAAAAAAAGTGTGAAAAAAAGGAGAGAGAAAAAAAAGGACGCGTGAAAAAAAAAGTGCAAAAAAAAATGTGGAAAAAAAAAAAAAAAAAAAAAAAAAAAAGAAGCATGAGAAAAAAGAGGGGGCAAAAAAAAAAAAAAAAGCAAAGAAAAAAAAGAGAGGAGAAAAAAATTAAGTGAAAAAACAGAGGAAAAAAATTGCGTAAAAAAAAAAAAAAAGAAGAGAAAAAAAAAATTGTGTGAAAAAAAACGAGAAAAAAGAAAGAAAAAAAAAAAGGAAGGGGAGAAAGAAATAAAAATAAAAATAAAAACAAAGAAAAGAAAAAATAATATCATACCGATTATTCAAGTAAAGACCGCAATCTAACAAGTCTTCAGAGACTTTATAATTAATGGCAAAACCTATAATATTGGTGGTATATATAGGCAACACAATATCTCCTGTTCGTACTGGGATTTGTATAATTCAGTTCAAATAGGAAAGTAAATTTCAAATCCAAAGTTAGATAGAAAAGCAAAAGAGGAAATCTTACCATCCAAAGCTGAAAAAAAAAAAAAAAAAAAAAAAAAAAAAAAAAAAAAAAGAAAAGAAAAAGAGAAAAAGTTGGATATTTCAACTCCCATTTGAAAAAGGAAACATGTCCTGTCAAACTTGGGACTCGAAGTGGAGGCAATTTGTAGACACTAAAATTTTAGTGGGTTTTGGTTTTGACAAATGGATCCATTAAATATGGGTCTAATGTTTAATTAAGTTATTTAATTGGCCCAAGCTTGATCCACTTAAATTATTTAATTAGTCTAACCCAGATGGTTAAATAAACAGATAATTATTCATAATAAAATATATTTGGAATAATTGTTTTAAAGGATAATTATCAAAATATAACCGGTCCGACTTAGTTATAATTTTATCCTTATTAGGAGATGACACGTGTTATCATCCTATCAACCCAAGAAGCTTATAAATAGAGGCCTGGAGGAAGAAGGAAGGGACACAAATTCAGAGTCCAAAAATCAAAAGACTTAAAAATCCAAAAGGTCCAGAAATTGAGAGAATCAGAAATCCAGAGGACAAACCTGAAGGTGAAGAACACCAAGCACATCCAAAGTCGTGCTATTCTTCACCAAATTCAACAAATCCTCTCTGAAGACGAAGAACAACAAGCACATCAAATCGTGCTGTTCTGCATCCAAATTTCACGGTAATTCAAGATCAAGTTCGTGCAGCCCTTCGATCCAACCAACCAAAAAGGAGATCGAATCAGAGGACTTTATTTTTTGTAAAGATTATTACAGAGGATTATACTCCATCTTTATAAATTAATAAAATATTCTATTTGTTTTCAATTTTATTTTTTATTTGCAGATTACAAAATTTGTGTGTACAAGGAGGTTACAACAATGGTGTCTCAAAAGCCTCTAGTGATGTTCACTAAGAGCTCTTGCTGCATGTCCGACTCTATCATAACCTTCTTTAGGAACAACTTTGGCTCCAACCCAGCCATTCCTGACCTCAATCAAATACAGAAAGGCCGAGAAATGGAAAAGGCTCTACTGAGGCTCGGTTACGATACTGTGCCGGTAGTGTTCATTGGTAGTGAACTGGTGGGAGGAGTTAATGAGGTCACTAGCGGTCATGTCGAGGGTTCCCTAGTCCCAATGCTTAGGCGGGCAGGAGCTATATTTGTTTGACGTTGTGCTTTGCATTTCCAGCTAATTAATAAACCATGTTTTAGTACTTTCGTTCTTAGGTGCCCTCATATATATATATATATATATATATAAATATATATAGAGCTAGCTTAGCCTTGGTTCTGATGACAATACAATTGAATAATACATACTATACTGTTTTTTTTTTTTTTTTTGTAATATGAAGTAATACATATAATCTCCTGGAGATTTAAGCTTACAAATTGCACCCCTTTTTAAAACCTTCCGAAAAAAAAAAAATAAAATAAAAAATGAGTTCAGCTTACAATGATTATATATTCCCGTTTCCTTCACAGTACAAAAAAATAGCACTTATATTTTGTAGATATATTTATAGTGTGTGTGCATTTTTTGGGTTCAAATGGCAGTTATCACTTATCGAAGCAACTGCTAAAAGCTATTTCAAACAGGCAATGTTGCTATTTCAATGGACCCAGAATTGCGTTGTTAAAATAAAATAAAGGGATTATTATATATAAATGTTCTTAATGACTTATATTAATCATTTGATTGAGTTAAAATTTTGTAGTTTCGAAAAAATGTAGTTGACCAAAATGATGACTTGAATATGAAAAAATATTGTTCATTCGCTAAAAAGTAATACTTTTAGGTACATATGTATTACTTTTTGTGCACACAAGTATCACCTTTTGTCATCAAGTACCACTTTTGTGTTGCAAAAAACAAAAAATGGGTACATGCGTGCACAAAAATTGATAGTTATGTGCTCAAAAAGTGGTATCTAAGTGCATAAAAGTGATATATTTTGGAGTATGAACAGTGTTTTTCCATATCCACGTTAGCATTTTGATCAACTTCATTTTTGTAAAACTATGTGACTTTGACTATACTAAATGATAAATATGGATCATTAACACCATTTGTATGTAATAATCCCTAAAATAGACTGAAAATTTTATGATTTGAAAACTTGATGCTCATTTTTCATTTTTTACATGAGTGAGGCAGATCCGTTTTTATTCAAATTGTCTTATTTCATTAATTCATAGGGCCCAATAGCTATGACAAAAGTTGGACATGACATGATTTTTCAAAATTAATCTCAAACCTCCTCTTAACCTTGAAATTTATTTTTTATTTTTCAAAATTCAAAGAATTTTATAGATTTTGTATAAGACAGTACAAAGCCCAATAAAGAAATGGCTCAGCCTGCTTAGGGCCCAAAAGAATAATAACAGTAAAGGGCTTTGAAGCCAACAAAACGAACAGAAAATGAACGAGTCTACCGCCTATTTGTAATCAGGAGCTCACTCCATTTCTCTATCCATCCACCACAATGGCTCTGGTTTTCCTATCCCATGACGAGAGTGACAAATGTGAAGTATAACTTTTGTAATTAGCATTTTTTATTCTCTCTGATCAAGTTGCAATATTTTGGTCACTTTTGAGTTTCGATGTTGAAATAAGAACTACATATGTACGTAAGCCTACTCTGGATCAACCAGAAAATCATTTATGCAAGTTTGGAAGTGAGGGTACACATTACGCATGTATATTTTGAGTCGGAATGAGAGTGCTTTGAGTAATGAAGCTTAAAACAGGTTTAATTTTGCGCTCTGTAAAAGTACAACCAGTTCAACTTTGAACTTAACCAGTTGACCGATTGAGTTTGCAACTGAACGGGTTTGACCTTTCTTGATACAGAAGAGGAAATTGTTTTTCTTGTTCAATTCGACTTCTTTTTTTTTTAATTTTTTTTATGAGGTTTTAGAGACAAATTTTTGCACGAAATCGCCAAAAATTTCAAACCTTTTTAGTTCTCTCTAAACATCTCTATATATATTCGTTTTATCTCAAAAATCATTACTGGTTTTAAGATCAAGTTTTGAAAACCCTAGAAAGCCTTTGAGAGATTTTCAACAGTGTTCTATTTTATATATTGAGAGCAGACATACCATACACATGAATGATTTAGGATGAGTGTTTCCCTTCTGATCAGAGTTCTTAAGAACTGAAGATCCATTGATACCGGTACGTCATAGAAAAGTTGTCCATTCAACTTTAACTATGAGTTTGAAAAAAAGAAGGAATCGATCACACTTTGAAGAGGTCGGAGCATTCATGGAGTATTAGTGATTTACCGACTATCCTTTTACAAGATGAATAATTCAACTTTCTATTAATTGCACCAAATTTGTATAATATGACCCCCTAAAATTAGTTTAGTTTCTAAAATTGTCTCCTAACTTTTTTCTTTTTTTCCTCTTTCTTTCCGTAAACTCCTTTAATTTCCCTAAAAAAGTAAAACTTTTTTGCTTCAATCAACCTCTAAATCACTCCTTTCAAAGCTATGTCATTCTTGTTTCCTTTTTCTTTTTCTGTGTCTTCCTTTTTCTTCTACTTTTTAAAATTCTTCATTTTTTATTTTATATTTTATTTTGTACACTATGCCCTAATAAGCGCTGAAAAGTGCGCATTTAAACCCCTTAATCTTGAATGTTCTAAGACCTTATTCTATCTTATTTTCCCGTTTTAGTACTAATTTATGTTTCCGTCTATTTTTAGGTCAATAAGGTTCAAACGGACTAATTTCGGTCCATTAAGACCTTTTTGGAGTCAAACTAAATCTTGGTGAGAAGTTGGAGCAAAATGAGGCTGATACTGAAAACTGCCTAGTTGGAACGATCGTGTGAATGATCGAACCATGAACGATCATATCTCTGAATGATCAAACCAACTTTGAACGATCACACCATAGCTCTGAATGATCACACTGTTGGTTGGATCGATCGAACTGTTCGCAGAAGTTATAAAAAAGCATATCTAAAGCTTATTTGGAATCAACTCAGGCCATGCTTGAAAGGGGAGATCCTAGGGCCGACTTCTTACATTTTTGGGCTCTAAAAGCCTTGTATATAAGAGGGATTGAACCATTTTTATAGGGAGATTGATATTTTTACATTGTAATTTCTATATTGTTGTAGTTTCTCTCTCTAGAAAGTTAGATATTAAGATTAGAAGAAAAGAGGGAAGTGGAGGCATATCTCAAGAACACATCTCTAGATCCACATACTCTCTATCTCTTGAGCTTCAAAGAAGAAGAAGAAGAAGAAGAAGAAGAAGAAGAAGAAGAAGAAGATAGAGCTATGTTTGGAGCTTGCCCTTGAGAGTTTCATGACCACATCCACCTTCTCCATGATTGGCTAGGATCTTTACTTAGGGCTTGGATGAGCCCTAAGTCTTGTGTAATCTAAACCATTGTATTTCTATGTTTGGGGATTTTTATATATTGTTGTGATTAGTGCTTAGTCTTGTGATTGTTGATTTAATTATTTCTAGTGATTCTCTATTTTAATTACATGTTGTCTTATGTGTGATTATTCGAGAATTGATCTCTACACTATATTCTTTATATTGGTTGCATGTCTATGTCTGATTAATTAATGATTTAGTGATGGCTAACCATGGTTTTCATTGAATGGGTTTGTAAATTAATTTGATGGATTTTGCTTACACTTGATGGGTTTTTCTATAATTTAATTCATATTTATAGGTAGGTAGACAATCTATTCTTGATTTGGTACTCCACACTTATTATTGCAAATTCCATGATTCTCTAGATTGATGTGTGCTCTCATTAGATATATTTGTTAATTAATTGATGGATTATGCCTTTGTCTTGGTGGGTTGTTTTACACTTAGTTTACTTATTGGTTAGGTAGACAAATTACTCTTGCATTAGATAGTTCACACTTTTACATAAAAATTGTGTTTATGTTTGTGGCCATATCTAGATTGCAATAATGTATTCCCCATTAATGGAAAGCAAGTAGTTAATTACATGAGTTTTGTGGTGATTCCAACACCCTAAGACCTCTCTTCATATCTCTTAAATCCCTATAGTACTTTACTTACATTTTAATTAATTGCATCTTAGTGTAATCAAATTACTAACCCTCCTTTGCAATCTTTTGATACGCTAGAGTCAAAGTTGAATTCCAATACATATAATCCCTGTGGACGATCCCTACTCGTTATGCTTCATTAGTTGTAGTAGTAGTTTTTATAAATGTAAATTTGACTAAAAAGGCTTCATAAACCACATTCATATTTTGACCTTGCGAAGCGACCTCTCGCATTAAAAAGTCAATTTTCTATCACTTAGAAAGGGGCTCGTCATGCCCCCCCTAAATTGAAATCATTACTTCGCCCTCGTTAAAACATTAAGTAATAAGTAACACACTTGAGTACATCGGTATACAGAGTAGGGGTGGCAAAACAGGTCACGACCCACCAACCCACCCATATTCGCCCGTTTTAAAATGGATATGGGTGAACCATTTTAAAATATAAGTCAAAATAGGTGACCCATATTCAACCCATTTTTATGGGGGGTAAAATGGGTTAAATATGGGTCAGCCATTTTGACCTATGTTTCACCCATTATATAAGAGACATACTTTTACATTCTTTATTTGACTTCAATATACCTCTTCTTCATCTCTAAAATTCTCTAACACGATTCCAAATCCTTTCTCTCTCCCACTCTCTCTAAAATTTTCTCTTTATCATCCTTTTTTCTTTCTCTAAAATTCTTTATAGTACTATAATATTACTTTGCTACATTCACAATACATATACAATGAGAATTTACAATTATAAATAAAATAAAATAATATAAATTTAAAGAATTTCCAAAATAAATTGAAAGATTTACAATTGTCGATACATATTTGAAGGGGCATAATATTTCGCTGGGCAAATTCGGCCCGGCCCACCATCTGAGAAAGAAGCCCAGAGACTCCCCAACACATTCGTTCTCACTTAGGGCCTGTTTTAAGTGATGGATCCACCCAAGAAGGGACCAAACTCGTTTAGAAAGGACCAAGCCCATATTGTTTCTAGATTTAGAAACTACATAAGGGATTTTAGGGCAAAGTGTACACCTTTATAAATAGAAGGAGAGAGAGAATGTAAAGGTGTATTGATTGAAGTGTAATAAATTAGTTTCCTAATAAAGAGATCAGCTTCTTGCACCTTCATCTGGCGCCATCTGTGAGAAACTGATGAGTAATTTTCTAATAGTTTTCCGATCCAATTGATGACACAACTACATTCCGGGACAATGATTGGCGAAGAGGGCACACAGCATCAAGAGTTTGGCTGGAACGATCGACAAGAGGATCTCTTGCAACTGATTTTGAACCTGCGTAAGGAGAACGCAGAGGTCGTGGAGATTTTACGCAGAGAGAACGTAGAGCTTCTGTGATTGGAGCGTGGGTTGGAGCCTCATCTACGTTCTCCAACCCACGCTCCAACCATACTGGTGAATCAAGCGGTAGTGAATGAGGTCGACCCTCAGAATGACCGCGTTGGGTCCATCCACCATGACATAGAGTTTAATGGC